GCACCTTTCTCCCCTCAGGCAGATCAACACTCCCTCCCAACTTGGTGTCATCTGCAAACTTACTGAGGGTCACTCAATCCCCTCATCAAGATCATTAATAAAGATGTTAAATAGAAGCAGCCCCAAGCCCTGGGGGACACCACTCGTGACTGGCCAGGATTTAACTCCATTGCCCACAACTGGGGCCTGGCAGTGTTTCATCCATTGGAGTGTACACCCAGCTTCTCCATGACAATGCTGTGGGGTACAGTGTCATCCCACATTTATGACATCTTCCACTGCACCTCAACTCTTTATTTTATTTAGAAATTTAAACAAGCTCTAATTAGTAGTAAGCAATATTCCTCTGAAGATTATCAATATATTATCAACTTGAACAGATTAGGCATACTTCATATCCAAAGTCTCAACAACAGCCTCTGGCTTTAGAAGAATAACACAGGACAAGAGACAATATCTTCTCAGCTTATGTGAACCCTTGATATCATCATCATAGATGAAAAACTTATCAAATTCAGAGTTGCTTTATCTTTAGATAAGAAGAATCAGTCAATAGTTTCAATCTCTCCCACCCTTCTATCAGTTGTCATCAGAAAGTTAATTTTTCTTGTCAGTAAAAGAGAGGAGCACATCATCGCTGATTCAAAAGATTTTGCCCACTAAGGAAAACATGATGAAATTGACAGTTCTTTGTACATACCCGATTTTTGTTAAGATAAAACATCTGACTATGCTCTTCAAAAACCTATTGTTAATGAGATTTTTATTAAAAAAAAAGAAAAAAGGAAAAAAAACAAATTAGAAATTCAGTACAGAAGTAGAACATATGAATAAAGAGAGATCTAAATCCTTTATTACTAACAAATAGTCTGGAGTTCCTGATATAGTCGATAATATTAAAAAATGTGAACTCAAACCTCTGTAACATTGCCAAATCTGTTAAAAGTTTTCTGTTTTCAAGAAATACATTTTTAATGGGAGAAAAGTTCTTGAATCTCATTTGTAAGAACATAAAACATTCTGGAGATAATAATAGAAAAAAAATATCCATATAAATGTTTCCTGAAATGTCAAAGCAAAGATACCAAACTAAGATAAGCTCCTTCTTGCAAGTCCTTGCACTCCAGACTTGATGAAGAGTGGCATTTAATAAAACAATTCTTACTTCAAGCATAATATAAGGAAAAATGACCTACAGTGCAATCAGGAGAGCAGAGGCCTGACAGGGCCATCTGATTTGATTCTCATTTCAGTGGTTAAGAGTTATTATGAAAAATACAAATGCAGAGACTGGCTTTCTGTTCAAAGACAAAATGGAAAGCAGTTCCAAACTTCAGCAGTTCCATGCTGAACACATTTGTTTTAGGATATATAATCTTTAATGTGTAATTTTTTTTTTTTTTTTTTGCTAGGTAAAAATAATAATAATAATAATAGTAATAATAATAATAATAATAATAATAATTCTTTAGTAAATTTTCTGCCTGTTGCTTGCTAGTTAATCTTTTACTCACACAGCACACAGTAGCAATATATATACTTGCAAAAGAGTGCCTGAGAACTTTCTAGCTTTATTTGCTACAAATAACAGTTTTACCAGACATTGGCTCTGCTGCAATCTAAAATGAAGTAAAATAAAATAATAATCTCCAATAGCCTCAAGTAGTATTCAATATTTTGTAGTAACTGCATGTAGAGTCTCAGAGAAGAGACGCCAAGTTCATTATTGGCTCAAGTTAATTCAATTGAGATTTGAAAGAAAGGTCATATGTAAAATCTCTATTGAATTAATGATACAGGTTGGCCCAAACATCAGTCCCTTCTCAGTAGCATATTCAAGGAGAAGGAAGATTTACTTCCTGTGTATATAGATTCATAACTCATCTTTAATACTGAACAGACCAAACAATTTTTTTACTTGTTAGTTAAAAGCAATTTTAGAAGGATAAGTAGAAGCCATAAGAAGAGCTATTACTTCCTTTAAGTAAGTTTAAATCAATTAATTGAAATGAAATGTTATATAAGTCCTTTAGTTGGCAAAATTTTGATTTTTTTTTTAATTATTCACTTAAAATTACCATTTCAATATGTTTTATTTCACAAAACCTTATGATTTCATAAATGGTATATCAAATTTTGCTCTCAGTGAGATTATATAAATATACTTATGCTAATAGTCCCTAGAAAGAAACTTTGCCCAGGTACACAGGTAGAATTAAACAAGGGAGATGCATGCAAGAAGTGTTCTGTGAGAACCTCTGGCTGATACAGATTTAAACCAGACTGCTCTGCTCTGTACTCTTTCCATTTCTTTGAAATAACTCCAATGAATGCAGGTATCGGTATATAAATACACGGCCTTTTGTAAATTATGCCCATTCTTAGTGAGATGGGGAAGAGAATTGGAAAAAAAAAAAAAAAAAAAAAAAAGGTGAAACTCAAAGAGTGAGATAAAACTATTTATTACGGCAAAAAAGGAAGAAAGAAATAATAGCAATGATAATTACTATATATTAGTATATAGTAAATAGTGTATTTACTATATATAGATAGTATATATCTTTACAAAACAAGATATATATATCATATATATGTATACAAAACAAGTGATGCACAAAGCAATTTCTCACCACCCACAGGACCCCTCCAGTCCCTGAGCAGCAGCAGCCCCCTAGGTAAACTCCTCTCCGTTTCATAGTTTTTTCACACGATGTCATATGGTATGGAATATGCCTTTGGCCAGTTTAGATCAGCTGTCCTGGCTCTGTCCCCTCCCAGCTCTGGGTATGCTTCCAGTCCCCACTGCTGTCAGGACAGTATGAAAAACTGAAAAGCTGAAATGTCCTTGGCTATGTATAGTACTGCTCAGCAACAACTAAAACATCAGAGTGTTATCAACATTGTCTTTCTCCTAAAGCCAAAACATAGTCTCATATCACACATTCTGAAGAAAATCACTCTGTCCCAGCTGAAACTAGGACAATATCTGAGTAACTTTGTTTGTAACTGGGGTTTATCTTACGCAAAACCATGCAGTCTCTGCCTCTGACAGTCAAACAGAACAGATCGGAACTGAATCTGCAGGATATGTGAAAAAGTATATATTTTCAATAGAAACTGAAATGCGTTACAGATAAGATAAAGGACTGCTTTCATCAAGGTCTAGTGGCACAAAATAGTACAGAAAGAAAAAAAAAAAAAGCACAAAAGTCTAAATAGAAACAGCTTACTGGTTCTTATTTCTTCTTTTCCATTATTAAAATGCTCTGCTACTTAAGTCACCTGAATAAAATCTTAAGGTAGTAACTAAGGGAATTGCTATTTTTCCGTGTTTTAATGAGAATGAAAGTTCTAATTCCACACAGACTGAGCTTGAAATTGCAGAAGTTATCTCTCAAATAATATGATGAGCTAATTACCAAAGATAATTATTATTCATAGGAACAACCACTGTAATAAAATATGATTTTTAATAAGCCAGCAGGAGGAGATAATAAAGCTAACAGTAACTGAACTGAACTTACATCATTTTTAGTCCCAGTGTTACTTTCGCACAACTTTAATGACTGCAATTTCCTTTAGCATGTTAAAGACAAGTTACAAAAAACAACTGTGACAGAGAAGCAGACAGTGTCCACCTCCACTATTAACATAAGTGCAACCTCTATGGCAGATGATAGTTTCTGGCACTATGAGGAAGTCATAGGCATAAGCAATTCAGGAATTTCCTAGAATGCACTGATGATAACTTCCTCTTCAAAGTGATAGAGGTGCCAATGAGTAGTGTTCCCAGTGGACAACCTCATCTTTATGAAGTGAATATGACTAGGCATGACATTTCAAAATTAGGCTTATTAAAATTTATTTCTTTCTGGAGAGTTCACAAAAGGACCAATAAACTGTATCTTGTATCTCAGAACTTTTGAGATGTTTCAGTATATCTTACATGTTTCACTGCATTTTCCGTCTTTCACCTCATTGCATGTTTTGTAGTGAGAAGGTATTTTTCTGCCTTAATGATTCTAAAGAAAACATTTCATAGTATTATTTAATATTATAATCAACTTGCTGGATTCAACACTGAGAAAGCATTTTCTGTAGTACAAACTGTTTTGGGAGCATACAGTCTCAAAATAGTAGAGCAACAAACAGATGTTACTGGACTAATCAAGACCCTGATAGTCTGATAGTAACCTCATGTTCTACAACTGAGTAAAACATAAAAACAGTGGCCATAAACAGAAAGAGTAAGAAAGGATAATTTAATAGCAGAGTTTTCCTTTTAATTCTAATTATGTTACTGACATCTGAATAGATAAATAATAAAGATGCAATTAAGTGTCTTTGGAGAACTTTGGATTTTTTTCAGTTACAGTGTTACTAAAATAGGTAAAAAAAATTCATTTTCTCTAGTATGTATATTTTATATACAGTTTTTGTTGTTGTTGTTTTTACCACACAAACTCTTGCTTCATTCTCATCTCTCAAAAACTTCAATTTTATACAGAGCGTACTAAGGATCAAAACAGTAAGAATGAAATCTTTATCAGTTTGTTCTGGGGAAAGAATATCCTGGTTTCATGTACAAAAGTTACAAACATCTTTTCAGAAATAATGGAAGTAACAGTGTTTTAATGCATGAATATTCACTTGCATAACAATGTTTTAATAAGAGTAATTGACAATTCATGGAAATTTCCAGAGCATCTAAACTCAGGATAGATAGCTGACTGTGATTTAGTAATGTAATATTACTTTTGTAATATCAAGTACACTTTATTTGTCTCTAAACTAAATGCTAGGGATTGCAGTCTGAAAACTGCAATTTTTTCAAATTCTGAAAAAATCAAGGCTAGATCTGTTTTCCAATATAGGAATGCAAAATTCAAATAAAGAATACAGTAATGTCAAATCTTATCCCAGAGTTTTGAAGGCACAGAAAAGGATCACACATGAAATAAGTCCTTACGGAACAGCAGAATTACAGGAAAGTTTCTTACCTCGGCAATTTGGTAAAGGGCTACTCCACTGCCCATTGCTTCGGCACTGTGCTCGGGAAGCACCCTGAAGTAAGTACCCAGTGTTGCAAGTAAAGTTTACAACATCATTCAAATTAAACTCACTGCCATTAGTCATTCCATGAGAAGGATTCCCAGGATGTCCACACGTGATTGCTGTTAAAAGAAAAATAGACATGCTAGATACTAACTCAACTAACTGAAAGGCACTGTTTGACGGAATCGCTTGTAGGTTGTAACTATTTTTATTTCTGAATATGTTTTTCATATTTATGCAAGAAGTTTAGAAAATAATGGGATACATTTATTCATAGTTCTCAACTGCTGGGGGGGGGGGGGGAATGTGGACATGTGGAATCTACTTTTTTACCTTGTGTGAAACTTTAATATAAATAATTACATGCACATGTATTTTGACACTGTATTGATATAGAATATACCTTTAAAAACATTGGAACATCACTATATTTCCTACTGATATAGATTTTATTTTTCCTTTAAAATTCAAGATATAGTAGGGAAAAAACAAAGTGAACTTAATATACTGCTTCAGAGCACTGCTAAGTTCTGAACAGTCCTGTTCCAAATTTCTTGAGTTGGTCTGCTGAAATACTGATCCTTTTTAATCAGATTTTCTTAAGGCAATTGAGAAATCACTGTTGACATTAAATCTTATGTGTGAGTTAATGTGCCTACATGACGCTAAAAAAGAAACATTTTATAGTAGTTAAGCTCTACACTTCCACATAACTAGATATTAAAGTAGTATAAAAAAAAACACACAGAAGAACATAGATACTGGCAATGTAAATAAGAAAGTCAAACGTATATATACATACACAGCTTTTTAACACTGCTCTGGTGATAATGATTATAATAAACTAACTATCCTATTCATAAGTAAATTGTTGATAAATTGTAGGGTTTCTTTTTCCTTTTCTGTAATGAAGAGATAGGTGGGGAAAAAAAAAAAAAAAAAAAAAGTGTTTCCTCTTATTTTATCACAGAGTGAAATAATAATATTTTCAACAATATGGGATCTTTGCAAATCAAATAGGATGCCTTCCTGTATGCAGGTTTACTTATTTAGACCTTAAATTGCATAAACAGATGCACTTTAATCACCTGAATCCCCTTCTGCACTAGTGATTTTTCAGCATTTGAAAATGAACCCTTAAACATTAGAATAAAATTTGAGTCTATAAACAGAATCTACTTTATTCTAGTCTACCTGTTGCATTTTTTAAACAGCAAGAGATTAGTACGTTTCAATAACTAAAATAATTTCCACGGTCACCATCTTCACAGTCACCATCTTTCTCATATAACAGAATATTAAACTAAAAATCGCTATTACCTTAGACTTTCTGAAATCTCCTGAACAAAATCTATGACAAAATTTATTACACAAAATTTAGGTATAATATTTATAAGAAATTGATACTGAATTCTGCTTAGCTGCCCTTTTCAACAAAAACAGAGCATTTTTCCACATGTGAGAGGAACTCTTTGATTGTATCTTAAAGATGTTTCTGTTACTACTTTTTGAGGTATCTTTGTCAGATCTCCAGGCAGGTAGCACTCAGTCAGTTCCTCTTTAGAACTCAGTACTCCTGACAGATGCTATATTTAATGTTTTTACATGTAGGTAATTTTGGCATGATACTGTTTCAAATCACCACTAGGCTTTTGTGCAATCAAATTAATATTGTTTGTCTAAGCACTAGCCAAGACATTTCATCTAAAGATTATCATCTAAGTGGTGAATAACAAATCTTTTCCCTACTGAGATAAGGAACTGCCTTATGCATGTACGTGATTATCCAATACTGAGGTAGAGAAATACCTATGTATCAAAAAACTATGCAAGATGAAGGAATCTGGAACACACATCTGAGAAGATAAAATAGTCATGGGTGGAATACTTTAAATACCTTCTTTGAAAATTAGTGTCTACTATTTCCAAGTATGAAAATCCTTTCAAAGCCAATTATAAATATAAAATGATATTCTGTGAAAATCATACAAAATGCAGCCCAGCTTGTCATAAATTTTCAGGGGCAGAGTTCCTGATCCACAATCCTTTATCAGAAGTCCATCTCAGTATTATATTAGGGAGACCATTTCTAAGCACTAGTACACAGCATATTTTCACTCTCCTTCTCAGAAAGAGCTGAGCCATTTTTACTAGAATTTCTAATGAATAAATAAAAGTGGGAAAATCATTTGAAGTTTGGTTGCTGTCATCACAAAAACTACAGTCAGTTCTCAGAACACTGATAACTATATCAGTTTAGGAAAGAACAGCTTCCCACCATCCCTCAGTATTGCCCCTTTCTTTTGAAGGGATTTTATTCATTGCACAGTAAAATTAATCCAGTAAAAGCAATAACACAAGCTGGTGGTATTTCTCCTTTGAGGAATGAAAATCATTTGAAGATATAATAGGATATTAAAAGGACAATAGCGTTTGGCAGATATTTCTTACAGCTGTACACAGGTAGAAATTTTATTTTAACCACTAAGAAAATAAATACTGAACATTTTGAAATCCAATGACTTATCAGCAGTATATTTTCTTAAAAGCAAAACAAATATACTAACAGGGATTAAACAGAAAAGATGATCATCTTTGTGACTATATGTCTGTGTGGCTGAAAATATTTCTGTCTGATTTACAGACATCTTAAAAATGAAATAACTGATGTAAATTCCCCATGAAAAATAACAGAATTCTATAGAAATTGTAAGTATATTAAAACCAAATAAGAAAAATAAATGATAGTGCTCTGTAAAGTAGAAGAATAATGTTCAGAGAAATTAGACCTGATTAAATGCCTGATGCTTCAGAGAATGTCAGGAAACTTGCCATGCGATTGAGAAAGGAACTAGATTAGGAACACCTCATAAATTAAAAAAAAATAATTAATGATCAATTTTTAAAAACAGATGCATTCAGAAAAAAAGAGGTAAAGAGAATAAAAATGCTAGCATTTTTCTAACAGACGTCATATATTCCAACACCATGACTGGAATTATACTGATAAATTCTAAGAGGAGTAGATTATCATAATCACCCTTACCATTGAAAATATGTTCAATAGATATGTTTTGAACACCTCATTCAAACACCTTTAAACATCCCATCCACCATGAATGTTCAATTACATTAAAAACAATAACAATATTTCACTGAATAGTAAACAGTACTTACGGACACAAACAGGAGTTTGTCCAGACCATCTGTGATCCTGTAGACAAATTCTGACAGATGTACCAACAAGTCGAAAGCCAGGATTACACTGATAGACTACAGTATCACGATAACTGAAGCCATCTCCACTAATATGACCATTTACAATTGGATCTGGAGAACCACAGTGACCAGCTACAAGTGAAGAACAACAGATTAAATATATAATTCTTAAATACACTGTCAACATTTACAAGAATGCTGATATGAAGAAAATAATTCATTCTTGTATTCAATAAACAAATACCAGAGTCAATTACTGTTTTGTATAGAACAATATCTGGAGTGTAAAAACTACAGATTATATTCCTTCTACTCTTCCAAGAGAAAGGAAACAGTGATTTGAATATTTTAAATTTTCATATATATATGAAACATATATATGAATATATGAGTTTCTGCAGCTTGTGTTGTAGAAATAATGAATTTGTCAGAAGAATATCTGGTGCATATAAATTACAAACATCTGAAATTACAAACCATTCAGTGTATTTGCTATAAAATTGACCATTTTCAAATTGAATATATATATATATTTCACTTTTTCGTGAATAAAGCTGCCTTTTTCCTCAGAGAAGTGTGAACTACAAATAAGAAGTCTCAAAACACTGAAGCCCACCACAGTAATCTGATTCCTCACTTTCATTATTTGCCTTGGATTTTGTGAGTAGACCTCTACTAATAAATGAAGCGCATTTGGGACCATTTTGTGGCAGAGGCCAACCAGAACAGAGAACTCTGTATTCATAAAATGAAAACATCTTGCCCTCTAGACCAGCACAGTTGCCAGCAAAAACAGCCTACCAAGGTTAGTAGTGGTTTAAGCTACCTCAGAGCTTGGGACAATCACAAATTTTGGGAAAGGAAATCTAAGAAGCAGATCAAAGATGTGAAAAGACAAGCTTGATTACTTTTTTTTTTTTTTTTTTTTTTTTCCTGGACCTAAATGCACAAAATTAAAAAGCAGCAGTTGCACTGAAGCCAAGCATAGGGAATCACAGGAAATTTCAGGAATAGCAAAAGATGACGCGCCAACTAGTAAAATATACAAAACAGAAGCATTATATACCTTCCCTTAAATGGGGATTTAACAGGCCTCTGGAATTATTATGCAAGTCATTTCATTACAGATCCAGCTAGTGTATTTAATTATTTCTGGGGGGATTCTGACTCACATCTTCCAGCAACTCAAGATGGTAAAATAGTGCAGTAACTTTAAAATTATTTAATTAAGGGTAAATTAAGGAGGTCACTAGTTGACTGTTTAATAAATTGTGCTTCAAGAATTATGGAATTGATCACTTAGGACTTATTTATAAGTTGGTACTACCATTGAAAAGTGGCCATCATTGCCGTGGTCACCGTCATTATCAATGGAAAAATGCCCGATGACTCACCACTACTGAAGACTGAACTACGAACCATGCTGGATCCATGGTGGTGACATTCTCCCTCTTGCTTCCTATAAAAACTCCTTGCTTCTTCTTTCCCATCCTTTCTATCGTCCTCCTTCCCTTCCCCATTACCCTAATTCATAATAGTGTCCATCCTTCCCTTCCCCATCTCCCTGATTAAGATCTGTAATAAACTGGTAGGACCAACATTTGAACCGTTGTTTCTTAAATTCACGCTGGGTATATATATATTAAAAAGAACCTCCTCTCCCTCCTGTAAATTGGAGTATGACAAAATCTTACTGCAGTTAAACTGTGAGTTAGCAATTGCAGGATCACATATATTTACACTAGCACAGTAAGTAATTATGTATAATTTTAAAATATAGAATAATATAGAATTAAATTCTAACATTTCTACCTAAATTCTTACATATTTTGGAAAAATAAATGACCATGAGAATTTACAAAAATGTAATGGAGTGGATTATATCTAGGTTTGAATTTTAAAGTATGTCTTTGTTGTGTTTATGTGTTGTTTTGCACATCAAAATCACACAAAATCAAGACAAGATATCTGTTCAGGAAATATGTCTAAATGCCACCAGTAACACAGCTGGTGTTATGCAAATAATCAAAAGCTTCCAGTTCAACCTATGTCCTACATGGATGTATGCACAGTCACACACAAAAGACAAGCATGTAAACATGTAAACACGTGTTGTGACTTCGAGAAGCAATTCTTCCTGAAAGGAAAAAGGGGGAAGGGATACAGATTATCAGCAGTGTGATTCATTTAGTGCAAATGAGAAATGTCTAGCCAAATAATTCATATTTACCTTTACACAAGTGAAAAAACAACCATATATTACTACTTGCAAACCTACATTTTATATTTATAAATTTATATATTTTATACGTATAGCCTTGGACTCCTTAACTACAGTCACTGGCTATAGCTTTTTTTTTGAAACAAATAATAAGGATTTGACAAAGCTTTTCTGATGTATAGAAATTAGTGTACTAAACTGGACTGAAATAATAAATAAATTCTTCACAGACCAGTAAGATAATGCAATATCTATTTTCATCCATATCTGTCCCGAATTACATTTACACAAGTATGACATAAGTAAAAAGCACCTCTAATTATCATTCCTTTAAAAAGGAAAGGCTCGTTCAGCATTCCCTGGTTGTATGCCTCCTGATTTTCACAGGCTTTAAGACCTAAAGGCACTTCTGAAATAAATGTGGTGCACGCTGTCCTTAAAATTTAGGAATACACAGCCAGTGGCATTCACATAATTTAGCTTTAAGACTGAAATTTATCTTTCCTAAATTGCCCTGCATAGTTCCATTGACCTTGCTGGGAATTTAGAAACTTATATTGTACATAAAATTAACCTAAGTTAGGTGCCTAAAGTGGTGTGAATATTCCTTATGTGAGAGGATGTAGAGAGGTAGGAAGTAGTTTAGTACCAGAAATACAATCTTCTGCAGCATGAATTTGATAACAGATTTTAGACTTCTACATTCAGAACTGTGCAGCACTTTTGGTATTACAGAGCTTGTCTGATTTTGAAGCTGCAAAGAGTAAATGGTGATTAATAACTGTCGAGCTCTAAATATGATCCTTTCTGCCCAGTAAAGCAGATGCACATATTTAACATTTCTAAGCATAAGGCTGCATACAGCAATGCATTCAATCTGACAAATATAAACCGAAGTTCATCTAATTTTAAAGAAAAATAATTAGAAAATATCATAAGACAATCTTTACTTGTAGTACAGTAATGTTTTCTGCAGGAGGTATTGTGCTTATACAGATGGAAATATCTCTGTAGAAATCATTTAAAATGCAGATCGGTTGATAAAAATTAGAAGTTGGTAGTTATGACTAAGCAGATAAGAAAACAGTAAAGTTAACAATTTCAATGTAGTCTTGTAGAACACACAAAATCCAACAATAGAAGAAAAGTGTGAATTCAAATAAAGTTCAAACAGCGTATAGAAACAGTTTTCATGAGATCTGGTAAATTTATTAACTCTTTTTTTTTTCCCCCAAAGAGTTAAAAGTTTCTCTGTATAAATAATTTTTAAACTGAGTTGCAGAATAAAGAAGTATTGTTCACCAGATAGGTCCTGTAGTGATCAGTTCTCCATCTCTTCACTATTTGAATGTAAATTTATGACTACTGTGTGCAGTTAATCTTCTCAAGTGTTCTGTGATAAAATATGTTCCCCAGAAGCCAGAATAGAAGAAAAAAAGCTTTTCCTGCCTTCCACAGACAAAAGCTATTTATAAAACAAACGGAATCCATTGAGATTAGTATATTATTTAGTTTGTATACACTGATGCCTAAATAATCCTTCATGCATAGCCTTTCAAAAAAGAAAAACAGTATATGAGTACTACATACTAATATCAGATGATGAAATGATATCTCAGATTAGTGCTAACATATATCAGTTTGCTAGAAATTAAGACATGCAATGGCTGGACATTATACTGTTTATATATGATAATAGCACACCACAAAATATTGAGAGATAAAAGCCTTTTTTAAAATAATAATATAGCTTTGAATGCTTGCAATAAAAGAAAGTGATGAGAAAAATACCCATATGCCCCTACACATACAAATATGGGGTTGTTAAATCTTCATATCTGCAGTGCCAGCATTTTTTAAGGGTTTGTCAGCATCAATATAGGGACAACCAGACATCAGCAGGAAACTGATGTGTCTTCACACACAAACCTCTTAGGTAGTTCTACTGCAGAACTTACCATGTACAAAAAAATGTAATCCTGAAGTTTAACGTTACTTTAGGTAGCACTCATGTTGAATTATTATTCCTGGGTAATACAGATTTATTTTACTCCTTCTTTTTTTTTTTTTTTTTTTTTTCCCTCTACATATAAAATAGTTGGGAAGTAGTAAGTAGTGCAAAAAAATATTCTCTTTACTTCCTACATAAAGATGACAGAATTCTTAATACAGCATATTTTTAATTGAAAAATGAAGCATAAGGATAGTAGGCTGGAAAAGTACCTTATTATTCTCACAACACTCACCAGAAACAACTACATCTTGCTCCCTAATAACTATCTCTATTTAGAAGCTAGTTTAGCGCTATGAGGCAATAGTCACTATTTTTAACTACTCTGTATTTTAAAAGATGGCACACTGTAAAACTATCTTCCCAGAAAATTGTACTACAGACAAAATGAATGAATTGGGTTTTAAAATTTTTAATGCAGATCTGCTGATCTGAATTGAAAGAAGAAAAGGCAATCAACACAACAAATAGGATGCAAAGATTTAAGACACAAGTTCATGTCTCTGACAGAAGATTCCCACATTTGTGCAATTCACTGATACCCCCATAAAATTTTCCATGAAATTGCTGATGAAGAATAACAGTAACATGCAGCTAGTAACTCCACATTCTTTTTTTCATCAAGATTAAATTATTATGCTTTTGATGTTAGAGCAATACTGTCTCATCGCCTGCAATAGATTTCAAAATAATTTCTCTAAAAGCATTTACAGGCATTAATTATCTCCAGAAATTCAGGATGTCATCACTAGTACTCTGGTAAGAATCAGATTAGTTTGATGATAGTTGTTATTCTTTTTTTTTTCATAATTACCTGCTAATATGTAATGAGTGATACTAGAAAAATTGTTTTTAGAAGATTAGATTGAGTTGTTATGTGGTCACATCATTCCCGGTTACTGTGATAAAGAGTCATTTTATGTTTAATGCTTCATTAAATAATGGGGAATGTTATGCTTTAAAAAGCAGCTGCTTTGCTTACAGGAACTCTCGCTGCTTTGAAATTTAATAAAAAACAGTATAGACTACCTATTTATCACTTATTTGTACAGGATAATGAGCATCAACAACCTGCTGTGCCAAAAACCATCTGTTCATCTATCTGAGCACAGATACACAGTGACCCTATTAACACTGAGGAAGTTGAGTTCCAGTTCCAGGTATCTCACAATGCTCACCAGCTTTTCATTATCTATACCTTTAGGTATGCTGCAATTACAGCTTCCTTCCCATAGATCCATACTGACATTGACTAGTTGGAAATGTAGACCAAAATGCTAATTTTGACTCATTTCATAGAAAAGATAACACCTGGGATTCTTCAGCCAGCAAGACCATTTGAAAAAGTAAGGATCAGTAAAAGAGTTTTTCAATTTTATCTTCAGTTCATTTTTTCAGATGGACAAAAGATTGTTGTTCTTCTTGACATGCTATGAAACACACCCATTCCTATATATATATATATATATTTTTAAGCTCATTATTAACCAACATAAGAAAATCTGAGGATTGAAATAGCTGGCATTACAACTTAAGGTCCACACTACATACATCTCAGGATTGTGAGGAGGCAGGATGGGGTGATGGTTGTACTTTATGTCATGGTTTTGTGATTTTTTGGTTTTCGGTATTCCACATCATAACATCATGTAGGGTACTGGGAGTTTAACTGTTAATGCTCTTCTTCGCCTGATCTTCATCGGCTCTCCTCCCGTCTCCCTGCTGCTCAACTGGACTGTGCATCTCACCTCAGCATTGTGGTGAGGCCTATCCACCTTTCAGATATTCTCTCTCATTATATTTGATTTATTAGCTTTGAATTTAATTATATTGTATTATAGTGTGTTATCTTGCATTCCGATAATATATTTAGTAAATAAGTTTGTTTCTCGTCAGATTGTTGCCGCTGTTTCTAATTATTTTGGGGTCCCCAGTTCCCTTTTTCCGGAGGTGCGGATCTGCAGATCCCTCCGCCCTGCTAGTCACAGAACTGGGCCAAACCAGCCTGTAAACCGTTGACACTTTATTTTGGATTATCTCTTGTCTAAACCCCTTGCCTAAATTCTCAGTATGCTGAAAATTTACTTGTAGTTGGAATGCACTAGGCATGTGTCTGAACTGAAGCTCATCTTCCAGCTTAGTTTCTTCATGCCCTCTGGGACTGCTCCATGAAGCAAAACAAGGTATTGTAAATGTGGATACCCAAGTGAGTCACCTAAAAAATCCTTCTGGTCCAAAAAGCCTTGCAACAGCATCAAGTATAATTTAATTGAAAACAAACAAACAAAAAAAGAAACCACAAATATACGTCGATAGAGCATCTTAAATCAAATGCAGCACACAATACTTTTTGTTCTTAGGAAACATTTATTTTTCATTGTGTAAAAGTGTTGTTGCTTGATATGAGGTGAATTCCAATAATTAATGCTACTTTTGTTTAAAAAACAAAACAAACAAAAAAAAGCTTTTACCTAGACACTGGGTTTCAGCACCACTCCAAAGACCATTTGCCAAGCATTCTCTCACGTGAGAACCAACTAACGTGTATCCTGTGTTACAAGTGAAAATTGCAGTGGCTCCATATACTGTTAAGGTTCCAATCTTATTTCCATTTGGTGGAGATAGAAGACCACCACAGGAGATAACTGGGGAAAAAACAAACAAACAAACAAACAAACAAATTGAAACATGAAAATGCTTTTCATAATTCCTTAGCCTAAAAAACAATAGAACACATTTTCTTAAAAAATAAACATAATATGAATAAATATAAAAGCTCTATTCAACTAATATTATGCATTAGGCTTAAAATTGTGCTCGGTTTGGCAATGCATGTCCTGCATCTGAAAACTCAGATGACTTCACATCCTGAAAGCAGTTTAAAAGCAATCTAAATGTCATGCTTTGAAGCAAATCATGAATGTCTGGGAAGGATGAGATTATATTCCATGCATACGTATTTCTGTATGTAAGGGGATGTAGAAAGGTGTCTGCTTCTTTCAGGTTGTCTGATCAAGGACTATTTCCATTGTAACAAGAGATAATAAGAAAGGGAGCTGGTCAGTTACACTGTAAGAGCCTGTGAGAATTCCAGCAGGGTTATCTTATTGAGGACGTTAATCTGGGAGACAATCACAAGAAACAAACCTCTCATTCACACTAATTGGTGAGCTAAGAAGCTACAGGTGCTTTTTTCAAAAAGGATGAATCTCGCTGCTGAGACAGGCGGAAAAGGGTGTAAGAGGGTGGCTGTTGCAAACAAGGCACTTGTCTAGTCAAGCCCTGCAGACAGTCACCACAGTTAGTCCTATCTTCTTCTATTTTCTCATTAAATCTTTTATTAACTATCTTTCTGTACTCCTTCTCACATTTGTGTAAGGACCATGTGCCAGCTCTGGTATGTATATATATAAATATATATACAAAAAATGTATTTTTAAATAAAGTATATGTATTAGAAACCATAGTATATTCTGTAAACAAGTGAACTGCTTACCCTTACAGATTGGCTTTTCATTGCCTACACTCCAGGTTCCATTAGTCCTGCACTGTATGAGTCTTTGACCCAATAAATAATAGCCAGGACTGCAGCTGAGCATCACTTGAGCTCCGTACTCATTCAGTGACCCAGAAATCAGTCTCCAGACAACATGTTCTGAAAGCAGAGTCTCTATGTTGGGGCAAGTCACAGCTGTGAATAAAGGACATGTAAATATTAGCATCCCCCACTAAATTTCTTAACAGAAAATATGTCTTCGCCATACTGGCAGAAGCCTTTCAATGAAAAACTGAGCGTATTGTGCATTTTTGAAATATAAGCTCTAGGAAAAAAATAATGAATATTATACAGTGAATACTGCAAATGAGCAAAAATATGTAGTACAGTTTCATTTAGAGATGCACTGGAACAGTGATGGTCATGCTCTAACTTGATTTATTTATTTCAGAGACAGAAAAGACTCCAGGGATGTAAAGGAAAAGCAAATATTACTAGTTAATTTTTTCAAAGGCCCAAATTATTCTTTTTTTTTTTTTTTTTTTTTTTTTCCCTCCATGCTATTCACTTTAGAAAAGCTCTACTATTGTCATAAAAGCTGCCAACATGGTCAAATGCTATTTAGAGTACAATCACATACTGGCATTGAGGAAAATTATTACATTACAGTTAGAGCATTTAAAAAAATAACATAAAAACATTTATATGCTTTCAGAGCGATTAATCTAGTTCCAAACTCCCACTATAGGCAGGGACACCTTCCACTAGGCCAGGATGTTCAAAGCCCGATCCAGCCTGGCCATGAACATCAGGTGGGTGTTATATTCATAGAATAGTATAATGAATAGTATAATGGATGATATAAACTTCTTACAGACGCAAAGATGCACACTCTTTTTCCTAAGCATTTTTAATACAGAAATACTGTTTTATATAAAGTACAGGTCAAAAAATAATTAGACCATAATTAGCAATTGAAATTATAATTAAAACTACTCATTTTAACATAATGATAATTACTAGAAACTGGTAATTTTGAATCAGTTGAAAAGCAGAGAAGTTATTCTATAAATCCAGGCATATTTTCTACTCAAAGCATGAGCAAAATGTCCACTAATCAGAATAGTCACTACTAGAACAGCACAATTGACTAAAAATATTATGACATTGTCTTTGCAACTAGAATTTAAATATAACAAAAAAAATTGCTTAGTAATGTGCTCAGCTTTTAATTTGAACTCTTCATAACGATTAATTATTTATAATTTTCTTATTCTGGTGAACAAACACATTGAGCTATTGATATTTTTCTAGAATCTAAATACCGTAAGACTGACTTCTGCTCTTCTACTGAGTTGGTCTCAAAAATAAGTCTCTGCTTAGTATGGTTTAAATTCATAAGTATCAGTAAATTAAGAAGACTGGACAAGTCCTGCACGAAAGAAGCAATACATCTGAATTTTGTGTTTCCGTCTAGGTACTTCTCTGTTTCCATTTTACAGTCTTTCTGATTTGGAAGATCTCTATATTCTTCAGAAAGTGAGACATTAAAGAACTAAGCAAAAATAATTTTCACTAATTAGTCACAAATAAAATCTAAGAATCAAGCTGTTACAGACAATTTCTGCATAATAATAAGACATTATCTCATTCAAAGGTGTGGAATGAAATTTAATTCATGCTATTTTCCCTTTTTAACTTGTCACTGCAAGAATCAGCATTTGTATTTCCAGAGCAGCTGATGAACAGAATAAGCAAATAAAAAATTCCCAAATGATTGTTCTTTTTTTTTAACCTTAGAAAGACAGAAACTATTGATTTTTCAAAATAATTTTTGTAAGACGTACAAGTATATAAAAATGATGATATTTAAGACAGCATTTGTCAGCTGACTATATGTAGAATTTAAAACCTTAAATTTTTAATTATACCAAACAGTATTTCCTTTGTATTTGAGTACAAACCAAATTATACTAGTTGCAGTAAAGGATAATAGAAGCATTTCATGTGACAAAGAGTAAGGAAAGAAATGCAAGCACCGATACTCATCTATAGTTTGAAACTCAAATTAGATATTTCTCCACTTTTTGGATGGAATGTTTTTTGGAACTGTGTGTCCCTCTTCTGCCTTTGATCAGCAACAAGACACTAATGCTTCAGAAGGAAATTTTAGCAGATTTCTCACAGTGTCCTGTATTCATATAATAAGATACTATTTACATGGCCAGTCTCTAATGAGGCCAGATTTAAAGTATTGCTTGAGAAAGGTTTTCAAATGGCTATAGAGAGACTCAGGCTTCATATTACCAGAAAAACACTGTAAAAAAAGCTGTACTGATTTCAGCCTTCATTTTAATAGACCTGGGGAAAAAATGAATTCATTTATTACCATCACTTTTTTGTGCTGTGTTTGCTGCTCATCAGTCTCAGATGATTCTATCTCTGGAGACTAAACAAATATATACTTATAGTACCACAACTTTAAAGAAAGGTTGTTATGAAGATTATCTAAGCTTTTTAGAACTTGCAGGTAAGTAATCTTGAGTAACGCATGCGTGCCCTTGAAGAGCAATCCATGTTGAAAATACTGACTGCATAATTTTAAGGTAGATCACTAGTGTTTTTTACTTCAGCATTTGTCACTTTGCTAAGTAAAGGGAATATTTTACAAACTGAATAAACTTTTAGAAAAGGAAAAAAAAAAAAAAAAGAGTATTAAACTCACTTAGGACTTACAAATATTAAATTAAAGTTCATAATGTAGAAAGCTATTAAAAACATTAGTAATTAAGCTCAGTTTATAGAATAGTCACTGTCTGGTAAGGTTCAATAGTGTTACAAAAACACTTTTTTTTTTTTTTTAATCCAAGTTAATTTAATTTGTTTCTTCCCTCCAGAAAAAAAATATCTGTTCATATTTATGTTGATTAATTATTGAAGATATGTACTTTATACCGTCAATTATTATTTTTTTCTAAGACAATAAAGTGTAGTTCGATATATGAGACTACTGCTTTCCTGTGCATGGTTCTGAACATAGAGTATGCTCGTGTGATCATAGATTACTTCAAATATGGAATGAGTGGAGATGGGATGGCTTATATGGAAAGAGACCAGGGGCTGCCATTGCCAGATACACTGATTTCCAGCTGGTTCTGCAAAGGATGCAACACAGGACATAGCTGAATCCATCAGCAAATCTGGCGGCACCTCTGGGAAATGATTTTTAAAAGAAGAGGGGATTTTTTTTTATTTTCATTTATTTTTTATTTTTTAAGAGTGAGAAACAGCAGTGCAAAGACCAGTCTGAGAAAAACAAGGGAAGAGGTGCTCCAGGATCTAAAGCAGAGAATCTCATGGAGAAGACCATGACAGAATGAGGATAGTGTTCACTGTCTTGAATCAGTACAAAGACAGAAGGAGGTTAACCCAGTGCACGAGATGTCATATCGCATAGCAAAGGTACCTGCATTATACTTTGCAGTTCTGACTGAAAACAAAAAGAAAGACTGAAGAACTCTTACCCTGGTTAGTTGTCTACACTATCAGTGTTTCAAAAAGTTTATACAATTGATGTTTGTAACTTTATACAGTGAAGTCGGAGAACATTAGCCACAGAGAGATTTTAAGACAGATTTTTTTGAAAATAAACTTTATTATTATTATTTATTATTGTTGTTATTATTAAACACATTTAATAGGTCACTTCTATTCTACTACATGCTGAATGACTGATGATATGTTCCTGACTGACCAGTTCAGCAGATAGGTACACATAAAATCTAAACTTAATCACAGAAGATATTCCTGAACCAGTTTAAGGGAAATATGCTTGAGAAACACATGCCTACTTACATTTGCAGACAGGTGGCCTCCCTTTGTTGCTCCATAATCCATCTTCTTGACACACTGCTGTTGCTTGTTGACTAGATTCTAGCTTGAAGCCCTCATTACATTCATATATCAATCTACTGCCCAAAGTGAATTCATTACCTATAACTGAACCATTCCCAGGAGAATCAGGAATACCACAAGATACAGCTAGAAAGAAAGGAAGTAAAAGAAAAGGAAAGATAAAGGCATTTTCTCATATTGTATTATTTTATGTTTGTTTAATATTATCATAGCACTGAAATAAGAAATAGAGATTAGTAATTTTCACATAATCCATTCATAGCAACTACAATGATTTTCCCATGTTTATGACATTCCAATGAACGTAATAGTATTTGAAACTTTAATAAGTATTTTGAAGCATATCTCACATAGCTGGACATTCTATAAATCATTATTTTGGTATTGGTTGTTTAAACACTGGCAGAAATTTCAACATGGACTACAGGCAGTAGTTGTTTTGATGTTCCAAATAATTTTAACTTTGTTGCTCCTTCAGAATTTTTCTACAGACAACTACTTATGCTTTTAAACTTACATTTTATTTGTTTTCTACTCAGTGAAGTTTGAGTAACATCTAGGTGCGGTTTTGTTTTGTTTTGCTTTGTTTTGCTTATTCACGATTATTTTTCTTAGATATATTTTTACCACAGTGTGATATGCTTCATTTAACAGTATCTCACAATACACAATCCTAGTGTGGAATATAATTACAAAAATATCAATTCCAGTCACTTCTACGAAAAGTCCCCAAGGCAGGATTTCCCTTTGTGAAGCATCTCTCCTCCCTTGATTCTGAGAATGAAAAGAAGAAAGGCAACACTTTGTTATCCCTATTTTTTTAAAGCTATGTGCTTCGTGGCACTTTGAAGGGGAAATTCATAGTATTATTAGCTCTGAAAGGATATTTTCTGTGAAATGGCAACCTGTAGTTAAGGACATATCACAATATTCAAATGAATCTATTTAAAAGTATCATAAAAAACAATGTTTCTGTGTACATAATCATTACCTTGACTGTGGCACACAGTGTATTGCTCTTCAATAAATACACTGAATAAAACACAGCTTTAAAGATTTTTTCCTAAATATTTATCAATAAAAGGAGTAGTCTTGAAATTTAAAATGTCTGTTACATATACAGGCAATTGTAAGGAGCAATTCAACATTTTAGCAGTTAAAATGCCCAATAGGTAATTTTCTCCCTTCCTCCTGTTACTCTTTTTTGTTTGTTTGTTCTTAATAAAATCTATATTTCAAAAGAAGAAATCACAGACTTTGTCTGAAATCTGTTAGAGATGAAAATAAATATTTTAAAAAAAGGAATTTGATTTTTCTTACCGTCTACCAAGCTTGATGTAAGTATTTAATTTCACAACACATTGTCATGGCACCATAAACAAAGTCTAAAATTTGTTTTCAGTATTCCAAAGTTGTCACATTTGATGCATTTAAATTAAACCCAACACAGTGCTTTGCATATAATTATAATGAGGAGAGGTAAGCATTATAAAATGATGAATGGTTAGTTCATTTCTCTTGTTTGCCTCCATCTGGAATCTGTCAAATTCCTAATAGAAATAGAACGGAAGGAATGGAGCAAAATAAGCTGCTTCCTTTGTAACACAGTTATCTTAGCACTTTTTGCATTCTAAACAGGACTGCTCTTCTCAAAATTGAGTATTTCTCCCTCAAATGCTAAGAGCTGACCCCCCTGACACTAGTAGTAATGGAACAGAGAATGGATGGAAATGTAATAAGTAAGGGATTCTAGAGACCCCCACTTTCTACTTTTAATGATGTTAGAGAAAGTGGAAAAGCAGAGGGGTAAAGGCAAGTCCTGCTGCATCTGGGTACAAGCCTTTCTATTAGTAGTTGTTCCCCCAGATCTGATCACAACAGTAATGACCATGGCTTTTCATGGCTCTGATGCGTTTAAAATAAGTGTCTGTTTTAATTCTCCATCTACTCCCCTGATAACTAATTTGATTGCTCACCTAAACTAGAACACTCTGAGCCTTAGTCACGTAAGTAAAATTCTACACTTACAAAATGTTTATTTGCCTGCTGAACTGACAGAAAGCTAAACTGTCACTCCTTCTTACTACCTCATAACCTAACCATAACTACATCAACCTAATTACATTGTACATTAAGCAGAATAGCTCTCAAAATTGGCTAGATTAATTACAACAGAGCTTAGGTAGATCGGGATTGACTTTTTTATCTTTCCCATTTTCTAGAGTTACTTGAGACATTCCTAGGTCTCCAAGACAAGACAGGTTCAGTGGATAACACAGGAGCTTGTGCCTTTTTGGACTGGTAGCTGGAGAACAGGCAAAATACCTCTGGACACATCAAATGACACTAGACTTCTATGTTTAAGCAAATTGATCAAAATTTTGGCTCATATACAGATGCTTGAACAAATTGCATTCTCTACTTTCCAAACTTTCTGGCCAAGCTGTACAGATAGTCAGCATTCCAGATTCTTTACTACAGTGCCCCTGAGCTTCCAGCTCCTCTACCCAGCATCAGCTACTTTATCTAAATAGCCTTTTCAGTAATCCAAAAGCAGCACGTGTCCTTGGACTAATCTCACAAATCCCCCACACAGATTATTCTATTATTTCGTGACCTTCAGAAAGGTCAAACAGCATCATATGCTATTAAATTTTATGGGATTCCAGATTTCCTGGAGTCTGGAAACATGGACACACAGATACTGCTTGTAGCACACTGGAAGTCTGAGCTGCTTTCTGGCCTGGTATAAGTGAAGCCCCATGGCCCACCCAGGCATGAAAACGTTCATCCTGAAGAAATACTTAGAGCCCAAATCACTCCATATAAAAAATGTCAACTGTACTCCTTGAAGTTCTCTAGATTTAGCCAAGTGGAATATTCCAAACAGAGTAACAAACATCATATCAAGTGTCAAGTGGAAAATACAGCTGATGTTGCTTTTAGAAATAGCAGAATCATTCTTACTAGCAAGCTTGCCAGAAACAAAAATATCTGTCTTGAAGGATACATGAATCACTTCACTTAACATCCTACAAACTGAAAACAGGTTTTAATTAAAGAAGTTTTGACAAGCCTTAAGTATGAATCTTACAGCCATCTGTTTATATAAACCAAGTGATCTATAAGCAGGCAAAACTGAAAGCATTTTTTTGAACAAGCAATGTATGTATCATATGGATAGAATTTTCAGCCTTTCTACTCTCCCCCACATTCTCAATCTTATTTGACCTACAACTCTTTAGACTCCAATAACTTCACCATTCACTCAGTATTCTGTGAAATAGTATTTGTAAGAAAGAACAACTGTGCTTATCTGCTTCTATACTGTTTTATGTTACTCCTCGTCTATAATTTTTGACAAACATTAATGAGTTTTAAGAGATATCCAGAAAAGATAAAGTGGAAACAATCTATCTCCAGAAGACAGTAAAAACAAAACAAAACAAAACAAACAACAACAACAAAAAACAAACCCCAAAACATCAAAAATATTACTTACTAATTAAAAGCACTACTGAAAACTACTGGATTTTTATGAAATCATAGAATCATCAAGGAATCATCAAGCAAAACATTCTGTTATACAACAATATGATGAGTATTAAGAATGAATTTTTCATTTGGGCTCGTTCTGATTCCACCAATCTAGTAATTACTACTTCAACTCACCTTAAGAATATAAATTGATATGCACTTGTATAAACTCCTGATGTCAATGTGTCTTTTGACATACAGTAGCATTTATAATGCTGGATCACTGTTCTGTGAAGTGTTACTTGCAGTTAAATTATAGAAGCATGCTCAATGAGGAAACATATCTTACCTTGGCAGATTGGTACAGGAGAATCCCACTGATACATGCCATTTTGGTGACGTCTACATGTTGCATTATTCTGACCAATCATTCTATATCCAGGTTTGCAGTAATAATGAACTTTACTGCCAGCAGGACCACCTGTTTTATTTACAATTCCACCATTCCTCAAGGTAGGGTTTAGGCTGCAATAGGGAGCTAAATGCAAATAAATGAATACATAATAAGAAAATTAAAAAAAACATAAAATATACAAAATTTGCAAATTTCACATTACTTAAGATAAATATAAACCAATAAAATTAGTATAAAATGCTTTACATTAATTTTCGAATTCTAACTGTAGATTCAGAGTTCAGCTGAAGTATTCTGAAGTTTAGACGCACAGTTTATACCTGCAAAATACCTTATGCTGTTTCACATAGGGAAGCTGCAACCAGGAAATATATGGTTTGTTCAGCAAGTCATTCAAACGTAGTAAACAATCTACTTTGAGTACGATACATTTACAAATATAAAATTATTAATTGAGCAACTGAACATGAAAAATACTTTTGAACTTTTTATTAAAAGAACAACAGCACAGACATTTAAGCCAAAAAGTAAATATGTTTTAAAAAATTAAATATCAAAGTACAGCAGAAGAAATCATCACATGCATTTTTCTCAAATTAAAATTTCTGTAAATTTTGTACACAACCTTCCTACAGTTATTACACAACAACTGTTTTTTAGGTTTTGCTGTTTTTTTTTTTTTTTTTTTTTTTCCAAAATAATCTAATTCAGGCAAGTGTAGTTTCTGAAATACTGAATTTACAGACATGAACCAGCAGTGTACGCTTGCAACCTGCAAGGCCAACTGTACCCTGGGCTGCATTAAAAAAGGGGTGGCCAGCAGGGAGTGGGAGATGATCATCCCCCTTTACTCGGCTCTTGTGAGGCCCCATCTGGAGTACTGCGTCCAGGGCTGGGGCCCCCAGTACAGGAAGGATGTGAAGCTCTTGTAGCAGGTCCAGAGGAGGGCCACTAAGATGATCAGAGAGCTGGAGTACCTCTCCTATGAAGAAAGGTTGAGGGAACTGGGCTTGTTTAGCTTGGAAAAGAGAAGACTCCGGGGAGACCTCATTGTGGCCTTTCAGTACAGGAAGGGAGCCTATAAACAGGAGGGGGAACGGCTGTTTACATGGGTGGATAGTGATAGGACAAGGGGGAATGGTTTTAAACTGAGACAGGGGAGGTTTAAGTTAGATATTAGGAGGAAATTCTTCACTGAGATGGTGGTGACCACTGGAACAAGTTGCCCAAGGAGCTGGTGGATGCCCCATCCCTGGAGGCATTCAAGACCAGGCTCGATGTGGCTCTGGGCAGCATGGTCTAGTGGCTGGCGACCCTGCACATAGTAGGGGGGTTGAAACTAGATGATCATTGTGGTCCTTTTCAACGTGGGCCACTGTATGATTCTATGACTTCTCAAGCACTAATTAATTTTAAATATCCCAGAAGAGCATTAGAATAGCAGGTGAGGCCTAATAATTTTCCACTTGGACAATGGGAAACTATGCCAACAACAACCTCCCAGTACTGCAATTCCTAAATAGAAAATATTTGCCATATGTTCTGTAACCTTAATGTTAAATGTTGAAATGCAATCTACAATAATTTCATTTGCAGTAGTATATTTTTGATACTTCGATAATTTAAAAGTATGATACCAGGCACATAAAATCAATTCCAATTTCAGATCATTCTGTAATATAAATCATATATATTTGGGTAATTTATGCTTAAAGAAGTTACTTAATGTAGCTCAGATCCATCTCCCTGGTCATATAAAAATCTTCGCCAATGAAATTTTAAAGTATTGACAGTAGGCAGCTAGTACCTCAGAAACAAATGATAATGTTTAAAGCAGTCCCTGTAGACCTCATCCATGCAAAAGTCTTATCAAAACTCATAGTATTCTGTGATGTAAAGGCAATAAAATAGAAACAGAAAAGGTTGATAGTCAAACAATATGCCTAATTATGTCCTAGTATGTCTAAAATACATATACTCTGAAAAAAAAGGAAAGCATTTGAAATTTTTTAATCAATTTCCTTCTTAATATATAGATAAGTATTTATTTGCACCTCCAACTGAACTCTCTTCAGAGTCCAGCATACAGCATACAGAACATCTTCTAAGATTAGAAACCAACATACTAACTAAAGGACCACAGACAAGGTAATAAATAAAAAGTACCCAAAGATCTGGAGGGCAAACGAAATACTTGAAAAATGTCAGATTGAAAACTACAACCACTGTCATCTGAGTTCAAATTCTGAACTTAAACAGGATTCTCGACAGCGTGTTCATAAAATACTGCAGTATTGTGTCAGAGGCCAAAAGAATAAAATGTTTTTCCTTCCAGCCAGTTTCTGAGAGAGGATCTTTTTTGGAACTTCAGGCTTGGGTGATAATAGGTGTAGTGACATAAGATTGCCCCCATCTAGGAATTATTTTTCCAAATGACATAGGATCCACATTTTTTAAAGCTTCTTAAACACCAGTGGTTTTTGCAAGGCAGAACATGCAGAACATTTTCAGCTCACTTAAAATCATAATGTCAATTTGCCACTTTCAACTGAAGACCAACAGGGAAATAACTGCACAACTGAAAAAAAACATCACTGATTTTGAATTTGCAGAACCATAGTTTTCCTTTCACAAAATATATTTTCTTAAGATCTGAAACATTACTGGAGAACTGAAATTTTTTTCAAAGCTGTTTACAGTGCTTTGCCTAACAGATGATCAATTAAAAAAATTCCAATTAAAAAAAATATATATATATTTAAATAGGATGCCCAACTGTCCTAGATGTTTTCATAAATCAGTCTTACAGATAATAATAGAATCAGAGAATGAAAGAATCATAGAATCACTGAATGGCTTCGGTGGGAAGGGACCTTAAAGGTAATCCAGTTTTGACCTCTACGTCTTGGACAGAATTGTCACTCACTAAGACCTCAATTATTTATTTTAACTCAACAATTTATTAACTCAATAACTTATCTTAGAAAAGGATGTTAATTCACAGCTGTATCATCGATTATTAGTCTAATAAGTTATACTAAGAACAGACTTATTAGTTAAATGTTTTAACTATTGACTTAGCAATTAAATACTGCTCTATGTTTGAAATTATAGATCAAGAAAAAGTCTTCCCTCAAATCTCATGTTACCTTTCTTTAACTTTTATCCTATGTATTTGTCGACAAACTACTGTTCTAACTTTCAGTTTTTGTCTTCATCACTGTATTACAAAGAATCTTGTGTGTTTCAGTGCTGCTATTGTTTAAACACCAATGATGCCGAAGCTTACCATCATTTTTACTTTAAAAATTCTCACTTTATAGATAAGAAAATAGACATTGGGACTTAAGTGATTAGGTAAGGTCACAAAAACAAAACAAACCTCTTCCAATTACTAAGATAGCTCTGTAGTTAATGGACCAAACATTCCATACATTACTTCAATTTAAAATATACAGAATCAGAAAGGAAAACAATACTCAACTAAGCAACAAAAAGAGTTGGGATGTCATTCTAATTCTTCTGCAGTGTGTTTTTAAATCTGACATGTAAGCTGTATGAAAACAGCAATGTAAATTTATAAAGATCAACTTCTTCCTTAGTATTGAAGTTGTGAATGACTGGATCTTCAAAAAAGAAATATCTATCTAAATATTTTCTATTTATGGTACAGATTTTCTTATCACTGCTTCAACAATTATAGATGATTCTGTTTATATTGCTCTGGGATTCAAAGCCCTATATGAACTACTGTTTTGTGACTTTTCTGCTGCAGTTATTACAGCAAGCCACCAACAAAAATTTTAGAAACAACAAAAGAAATAAACTTCTTCTGTCACCTCTAACAAGCAACTGGAAAACGTAAAAGCAAAAACAAATCAATCAATGACCTTTGCTTTTCAAGTACAATGGAGAGAAAATACAGTTGTTTAATCAGTACAAATATTAGAAACCAAGTAAAAATGAATGGTGAAGAATTCATTTTCTTGCAATAATACATGAGGCTACAATAACAGAATAAAGATAAAATAGATATGTATGCTGAAGTTTTAATATATACATTGGCAGCTCACAATTTAACTAAGTTATCACTTGCCTCATTTATTCTTCAACAAAAAACAAAAGTTAAACAAAAGCCTGTATACATCATAGAGGCAATGTAAATTTTCAAGGTAGCAAGTGAAGTGTCCCTCTTCTCAATCACCATTTTTCTGGCAGACGTGTCAAGTACTGTGCAGAAGTATAGGAATTACGACTGTAGTGTCCTTTCATTCATTCACTTCACTACAACTCAAAATAAATCACTGCTTATGGTTGTTTTTTACACTGCTTATGGTAGCTTGCTTGTGTAGGGATCTGCATGTGAGCTTGTAAATTAGCGAAGCAAAAAAAGTCCGAAGGTTATGCAGGTAGCTTTCAAAGCCATTTTGCAGGTTCAACTCATGTAGAGTTTCCTAGAAAGTGCTCAGTAAATTCCAATTTATACAATCATAGATTGTCCCCATTTATACCTAAATAACCTATTTTGGTAGAACCCAGCTTTGCCAGGAAGTCAACTTCTAGCACTATCAGGAAAACAAACAAACAAACAAACAAAAAGTGTTTTTTTGTTTGTTTGTTTGTTTTGTTTTTTTTTTGCAATTGCTTTCAGTGATTTTATTATCAGATCTCTCTTTCAAAGAAAAAAAAAATTTCTTTCCTACAACTGCATAAAATGCTTCCTCTCCTTGTTAGTTCAATGTAGAAAAGTATTATATGGATTAAGGTAATATGTCAGAGCCCTAAAAATAATACCCTTCTGCTGTAATAGTATAGCTCTTCTCTACTATTACTTAGCAAAAAGTCTGGAACTACAAGACAGAATACATAGAAGTAACGTTAGACAGATAGCTTACACATGCAAGGTTGTATGCTAAAGTAAACACTAAATATTCTTCTGAAAATTCCTGCACTCTAAAGAAGAACAGTTATGACAAAAGTGCAATTTGCAAAATGTACAAGCGTAGTTGGAGAAAAAGGAGAGGGTTTTGGGGAGCAGTAATTCACTTCAATAAGTCCTTCATTATAAGAAAGCCTTCTGGCTCAGACACAGCTGCCATGGTATCAATAGCCTTTTTGGGATCCTGTATTTTTCCTTCCCTCATTAAGATTCAAATCCAATTGTTTATGCTACCACTCACTGTTACTCTTCTTTCATGCTGTCTATTTTCATTGAATCTCATTTGAAATACACAGTTTGGAGAAAAAAAGCAGACTCTGGATGCTACTAAGGCAGAAAAAGCAAAACAGTTGTTTGTTCCTAAAACATTGCCATAAGGATTACATATTTCTCTTCATTTCCCAAACATTATTATTAGCTGTGGCTAGTGCCATAATAATTGATGAACTAAGCGTGGAAAAACATGGTTTTTTTTTACACATAAAGGTGTAAAATAATTTCTCATTCCTTAAAAATCAATCACCTACAGAATTTGATATTTACAAAATAAATTCATGACATGATCTCTATTCTTGTAACACTTGTATTACTTTCTCACTGTAAATTCACAATAGAAGGCCCACTCCCCACAAGATTTGCGCTCCAGTTCCCTCAGCAGCTTTATTGCTCTTCTCTGGACACACTCCAGGGCCTCAATGTCTTTCTTGTAGTGAGGGGCTCAAATATGAGCACAGTACTCAAAGTGTGGCCTCACCAGGGCTGAGTACAGAAGACTGATCATTTCCTTGCTCCTGATGGGAACACTATTTTTGATACAAACCAATATGCCAGTGGCCTTCTTGGACACCTGGGTACACTGCTGACTCATGTTCAGCCAGGCATTAACCAATGTGCTTGAAAACAACTTCCTTTCCCCCAATCCCTCAGTTTTAGTTTGTCTTTCATAATACTCCAAATGCTTCTTGATGAAGACAAAGCCTTCTATAACTAGTCCTTTTTTTCTGACAGTTTACTAATGTGGGTAGTACTTGGTGTGGGTGGTACTCGTGCAATGGTGGGTGGTAGTTACAGGTGGTGGTTCTGGGTGGTGCTTAACGGGTCACGGGGCGGTCGCGTGTCATAGTATATAAGCAGATGTTGCGCAGCAATAAATTGGCACTTGAGCTACACCCTATGTTGTGTGTCTCTTGTATCCCTGTGCCGGGTGGGGTACAGACGGAGGGGCGCTGATGTGGTGTTGCTGACCGGGCAGGGTTGCGAGGAGGTTAGCAACAACTAACTGTTCATAGTCCTCAAGTTCACAGAATCACAGAATTGCAGGGGTTGGGAGGCATCTCAAGAGTTGATCTCTTGAGAGATCTCCAACTTCCCTGCTAAAGCAGATTCCCTACAATATGCTACACAAGTTCCCAGAATAATGAACATGATTATGGTTTAGCTCAGCTCGCTTCTTTCAGCAGCAGGAGGAACTTTCCAGAGATGAGGTTGAAAGTGTATGGATGATAGAGAGCAGGAAAGAATTATGTGCAAATCATCTCTCTATACAGTGTGCCATTTAGCATTTATTTAGCATGCCTGAATGGGATATATTTGGTACTTGGAAAAATATAAAATATTCATTGCATTCTTCTCTTAATTTATATGGACAATTTTTAACCACCAAATTAACACTTATCCACTCACACATTGTTAATCAAGTCTAAACACACAAAAAAGCAAATGTTAACAACAGAGAGAGAGTAATTATCACCTCTCTCTCACACACACTATTTACATCATGTTAAGTGACAACTAAACCAAGCCTCCCAGGAGCAGTGCCTTCAATGGGTATGTGTGACAACGTTCAAAAATAATGCAAGCAGAGTAAGAGCAAGTATCTATACATGTACATTATAACAGAATCACAGAGGTTGGAAGGTACCTCTAGAGACCACCTAGTCCAGCTGCTGCTAAAGCAGGTTCCCTGAAGTAGATTGCACAGGAAAGCATCCAAGTGTGTTTTGATAATCTCCAGAGAAAGAGACTCCAAAATGTCACAGAACAGTTTGTTCCAATGCTGTCACCTCACAGTAAAGAAGTTCTTTCTCATGTTCAGATGGAACTTATTCAAGCACATTGCCCCTTGGCCTTTCACTGAACACCACCAAAATGAGTCTGGCATCATCCTCTTGACACCTGCCCTTTAGTTATTTATAAGCACTGATAAGATCCACTCTGTCTTCTCCTCTCCACCTTGTACAGTCACTCTCTCAGCCTCTTAGCAAAAGAGAGATGTTTCAGGCCCCTTATCATCTTTGTCTCCCTTCACTGGGCTTCTTCTAGGAGATCCCTGACTTCCTTGAACTGAGGAGCCCAGAACTAGACACCATATTCTAAATGTGGCCTCACCAAGGCAGAGTAGAAAGGGAGGGGGGAGGAGGGGGAAGATAACCTTCCTTGACCTCAGCCTGCTGGCCATGCTTTTTAATTCACCGAAGGATCACACTGGCCTTCTTGGTCACAACCTCACACTATTGGCTCATGGCCAACTTTTTGTCCAGCAAGAACCCCAGGTCCTTCTCTGCAGAGTTCTCCTCCAGCAGGTCAGTCCTTAACCTGTACTGATGTATGTGGTTATTTCTCCCCAGTTTCATCACGCTACATTTGCCTTTGTTGAACCTCATAAGGCTCCTTTCATCTTTCCCAGTTCTCTAGGCTAGGGGCTGCCTTTGTACATCTGGGGCTCTTACACTCCTAGCACCATACACACCTCATCAGCCACTCTCTCATGAGGGCTGAAGGCTCCTGGCTGGTCTCTCCTCACTCTGGAGTCTCCTCAATTTCAGGACTCTGTGGCACACCTTGAGTCACCGCACTGCTGCAGAACATGCTTGCATTGGAGTTGATCACAAAATACAATTTAATGGAAATCATTAACAGTTACCTGAGTAACGGATCTTGAATCCTTTCTTGCTGGTTGCATGATCAGTTGACCAGCGAAGGTACAGCTGATTCATTTTGCTTGTAAAGTTCAGTTGTCCAGTATGATTTCCACTTAAAGCAACCAGTAAAGGGCTTTGCCCAGAAGAACCTTCAGAGGTCAAAAATAGGAAAGTTTTAAAGCAATACCAATGTTATTAATCTTTTCCATACTTTAGTTGAACTGAGTGTGAATATATAAGGAAAGAATAGGAAACCTTATGACACATTTTTGTGTTTTAAACTGTTTTGAACAGTTTTGTTACAGTAGTTATATACTAGAGTTCAGAACTATTAAAAGATTATTTGTTTACTATAGCAACTTTTTATGTAAAAAAGATTAGTTCATGTTGCCATAAACTAATAGGATGCTAAAAAAAAAAAAGTGTCCTGGCACCAAACTGCTATACCTTCACCAGAATAAAACCTTAGATGCAGTAATAATGATCTGGGGGTTGATTAGATAAAACAACAATACTACAATGGAAGGAAAAAAATGTGACAAGCCAATCTCCTTTTGAATGCTTTCTAAAACATGAAACAACACCTTCCTCTATACAAAGGTTATCGTTTCTCCAGCCAAACTTCTTTTAGTATGCTTACTATGCTGTTTACTCTGAGTTTTATCATGTTTTGGAAAGCTAAGTTCAACCAACGCTATCTTGGTCACAACAGACGTTTCAAATAAATAGTTTGCTTCTTTTCATTTTTGCTGAGCTTTATTAACTGCAGCCTGATCAGTCCTTCATAGAATCAGAGAATTGTAGTGGTTGGAAGGGAACTCTGGAGATCACCTAGTACACCCACCTGCTAAAGAAGGTTGTGCAGGAAAGAATCCAGGTGGGTTTTGAGTATCTCCAGAAAAGCCCCCCCAACATCTCTAGGCATTCTCATGTTGAGTGAATGCACAAAAATAAAACTGATTTTAAGGAGACCTAGAAATTGAATGCAATTGTTGTCAACCTTCTATCCCTTCAATATAAGAAAAATTTTCTGGTTGGGACATTTCAGAGATGAAAGGAAGGATATAAGAGCCACAGAAAACCGTAAAAATTTAGCTTACCAGTCTTTTCAGTTACCACTATGGAAATGATACAGTTAAATAAATATTAATAAATAAACTCTAAGTAATAAAAAATACACAAAATAAGAATAAATAAGCACAGATTTAGGTGCAGGTTGCCTAGCGCACCCTAATTTAAATGTTTTGATATTTGTGTTTATGATTAGAAGTAGTGTCTGATGATTACACTGTAGGATAGACAATGAGGACTGCTGAGGTTAATTCCTATTTTTGCTGAAAATAATGATTTAGAACATAACAATCCATTTATTTTCTCTGTGCTTCACCCTAGACAGTAAAATCTGTTTAATACAATTTAGTTGGCTCATGAGGTACTATTACAGCTCAGAAATTCTCAAATAAAGGGGCTAGAAGAGTATTATTGCAGATAAAAATCTACCATACATGAATAAGTGAGACTCCTTCCTCACTAGTGATGGTGAAATTAGATTGCAGCATGACATGCCGAGTAGTCATACAACATTTTTCAGACACTGGAAGATCAGAGGAGTGGTGCTTAATTTTCACTTTCTGGACCTTGCCAGAAGGCATTTTCAGTTGACATCCAGGCAATTAAGCATCAGGACCTAGGTATTCCCGAGTTTGATTTGTTATTAGTATTTCAGAATTTGTCTACAGAAAAAACATATATTCAATTTCTAGGGTGCTGACATGCCATATGAGGCTTTCCTGAATGTTAGGTAAAAGTAGACACTACTGTCTAATTGCAATGATAGAATCACGTTGGTTTATTTGGGGAAAAAAACATCAAATAGTATTTGCTCTATTAAATAAGTACTATTCAGTACAAGTAGGCTTAATGCAGTGTTTTCAAGTTCAAAAGTCCTTGGTAATTATATTCTATGGTACATGTATAGCTTCTCTGGCTTAGAATATAGATGGGATTTCCTAGAGTTCTTACTGATAATGGGGAGAGAAAATGGCTAATGGTATTACTTCTCCCAGCTGACCAGAGTGGCCTCATTAATGGAATGCTAAGGCACCATAATTCACAATATAGTGACTCAGTCATACTCACTATTTTCCTTTGCATTCCAAAGTTGCCTTATAAAGTCATCAAAAGTCTGTACCTTAGTGAATATTATTTCTCTAACATTTTTCCTGACAATCTTTATGTCATTTCTATGTCACATTCAATGATATATCTGTATCTGAGTTAGAAAAAACATTTCAGTTACACTAATTTAAACAAAACTATGCTATTTTGGACCACATACAGTAGTAGGATATGATCTATATTTACTGCAAAATTTAGCAATTCACAGAAATAGCTAAGCCAGCTCTGGATGAGCTAGCCTGAGTTATATCCATAACTGAAAATGGTATAGCCACATCATCATCTGCCCCAACTAACTCATCATGCTGTGATGTAAAACTAATTAGCCCAGCAAAGCACATTGCTATTATGGCCACAGGGACACAAACAAGTATCTCGGCAAGGCACTGCAATGAGCCATATTTAAATATCAACTTGTTGAGAGCAAGCTTAGGAATCTCTACATGGCACTACATTAAGAGGTTATAAATATGCCATTATCACTCTCATTTAAGTTTGCTGGTGGGTGGTAGAAAAAATGGTTTTGGTAGAGCTGCACTATACATATTGTCATGAAATGATAATGCTTAAAAATGTAGCAACTATATTAATTTTTCTCTCAGATCTATTATTGATAATCTGATTTCATTAAATTTAAATGCATAAGAAAGAAAAAGAAAATATTCATCAGGATCAGTAAGCAGTCTAAGCAGACTTTTTCAAAAGAAAACAAAGTGATTAGACCAATACAAAATTCTCAAGCATGCATACATCGTCTCAATATTAAATACAAAATAGACTGGAGAAAAATATAGTTGTAAGAGATTTTTCAGATGATTTTCTCTGCAAACCTGACACAGACCAGTACACACATTATGGAGGGGAAAACAAACAAACAAAAAAAAAAAATACAACAAAAAAAAGAAACACCTAACGAATCAGAATATTTAAAAGAATGAAAAAATATTGAGGTTTTTTTCCTTCTAAATATTGTTATCAAAATGTGAAAATAATATCTAAAATAAATCTAATAAGATTTTAGATACTAAAAGCCTTCTACCTCAGCAAAACAGAAACATATGACTATTTAATATTTTTCATTTTATAGAACTCACATAGTGAATATTAATTGGTTCTATAACAGTTATCATATATACTTGATTAATGGGGGAGGATATGTTAATGACCTCCAAATGAATAAAAATATATTAAAGAACAATCAGGGACCAGATTTTCTCATATATCAGTGAGAGCAGAACAAGAGGTAATAAGTTCAGAATTCAACAGAAACATAAGAATGGGCTGTTAATTAAACAGTGCCATCTGAGAGGCTACTGCCATGAATAACATTCCAGAAAATGAGTTTTTGTCATTTGACCTAAAACAGATGAGCAAATTCTTTAATATGAGCATTTTCAAACAAGATATAGCAGCAGTTCTGCGATAGTAGCTGAAAGTAGACTGGGCGTTTGGACTGAAATTTGAGTATATGGATTCAAATTATTTTATGAAATTGGACTATATGAAATTATACTCCACAAGTATTTCTGTAGTAGAAATGATCCATTACAAAACAGCATGTTAACTTCTCCTTTCAGACACCTCTATGCATTTCTCAGGAAACAGAAAAACTGCATGACAGTGACTTTAACAGGAGAGCTGCAGCTGCTCCTCTTCTGAAAATACCAAATAAAATAAAAAATTTTCTTGACTACATCTATTAAAACTGTCATTAACTAATAGATTTAGATTTAAGGCACTACTCTGTAGATTTGGTTATGTATCACAATATTACAAAACCAATTGTTGAAATCAAGACACTCTGTGAGCCGTTGCTCTTTCATAGGAAGATAGAATTTAAATCCTTCTTACCATCAAATACCTCCAGCTCATCAAACTGCTTTTCACTTTGAAACATTTCTACAAATATGGAGATGTTATATCCTGGATCAACCTTTATAGTCCAAGAACAGGTCTGAGAGTTAGGATATGTTCCTGGGTAACCTGGACTGAGGATTACTCCAGATGATTCTGTACGGATTTCATTTGCTGGACATTGTGCTAGAAAGGACACAAGAAAAGCAATGAGAAGAGCAATGAAATAAAGTGTTTCTTTTCCATAAAAAAGGTTGTATTATTTTTTCAGAGATATATACACGCTTCAGATTCAGATTCCAAATGAAAACATATTAAAACGTATTAGAGATGGAATGAACAGCAAAGTTCCCGTCAGCATAAAAGAAACAAGGGGCAGCTTCATAAACCTTGCTTTTATAAAAGAGAATAGCAATTACAGTGAATCATCCAAAAACCTGTCAGAAATCAAGATGTTTACGGTCAGGAGATCTATATACACTGGTGTGATTATTCATATATAAAAGCTTTAGGGCTTTAGGAATCAAGTCTGTACAAAACATAATAATATATATGGACTTTTAGGCAAATTAGATCATTTGAAAATACATGTTTTGTGCAGAGTTTATACTGCAAGCAGTCCAAGTCAATCAAGTAAGACCTTTCCAGTTATTATTTTGCTTGTTAGAGGTGTATGGCATCTGGCATGGAGGATTTTAAAATGAGAATTATGGAATATTATAGTTTGAAAAATCTGAGATGAGTTTACTGAAAATGGTTAAAAAGTGATTGTTGAGATATTCTTCACTGACACAAGAAAATCTGTCACAAGCATATGACAGAAATGGAACCAGGGAAGGAAATGTAGAGAATTA